CACCCCACCCACCCTCCACTCCATTACCTAGCCCTCCTAAACAAAGTTTCGCAGCACACCCATCCCTCCCAAAACAAAAACAAAATTTAAAAAAAATTGTGACTATCAACCAGACCCATACCTGCAACCCACGACCACCTCAAGCACAAAATCAAATCTGAAATGCCCAATTTCTCTTTCTTTCTCTCTTTTTACCCAACCCCTAATAGCCACAACCACCCTCACCTCAATCTCTTTACCCAACCTCTCAAATTCAAACGGCCATTAGAGCTTCATGAATCATGATAATTCCCAGAAGCCACTTGTGCCAATCAGAAACATAGAACATAGAGTAGAGAAAAAGAAGCACAAACCCTACCTCCTGCAAGAAATCCGATCCAAACCCCCACCCAATCAACCAACCCACAACACACACCTAGAACTTGAAAATTTTCTCTAGAAATTTCAGTAGCCCCACCCATCTCTGACTACCTCCCCACCTCAACTCCAACTACCTCTTCCCCCCAGCTATGGCTCTAGCACCCAACCCCAAATCGCACACCCCCTTCCAATGAGAAGAAACGGAAGAAGTTAGAAACTCATTTTCATTTCCTCATCCTCTCTCCCTTCTCTCAATTCCCACCATCGATTTCTTCTTAGCTCCCTAATCAAAGAGGTTTTGTGAGGTGGGTCAGGGCTACTGGGTTTGAGGGTTCGGGAGGTGCGCAGGTGGGGGAGATCAAGGTGGAGCTGTGTGGGTGGGGAGGCGATTGGGGGCTGGGTTTGTAGGGTTTATACACAGGGGAGGGGGCTCTATTTATTAAAATGATTTTTTTTTTCATTTTATATGTCATATTATTTTATTTTACAGTATTTAATTATTTTTAATATATGAAATGACCAATTTGCCCTCATATTTAACGGCAAATTGGATGAAATGTTGATGATTTAGACGGCAGGGGGAACATTGATAATAAAATTTAATTCGAGCCCTTAATTCACTAAAAAAAAAGGTCAGGGGGTAAATTGATAGTTATGTACAAGTTCAGGGGGCAATTCGGCAGTTTACCCTAAAATGAAATATCAATAATGGAAATGCTAAGGCATCAAGGTTCAATTCTTTAAGCAAAATATGTTTCATGCTCTTTAATCCAAATTAAACTCGATTAAAATTATCATTGAGAAACTTTAACCGAAAGATAAAGAAATTAAAACCAACTTAGTTTTTCAATGTTATCTTTTATTAATGATTGTTTAGAAAATGGAGTTACTTAATATCTAATCTTTTAATTTAAAAGCATGCTAAGTTTAGTTCTTAACAATGAGAAAAATATAATTGAATGCATGAAAAGATAGTAGCACTTAACATCAATCAAAATAAAAGGATATGAAAATATTGAGCAACCAAAAATAAAAGAATTTAGCAATTCATACCGTATATTGGATTAAAGAACAATTCACAAACTTACTCAAAGGACATTCCCTTTAGCCTTAGCTAGAGTTCTAGCAACTCATTACAAAGGAAAACATAACTAAATTTTGAATGAAATGGATAAAGAAATCTGTCGTAGAGGTTTCCTTGCCAAATAAGTTGATGGGTGATTTATAGTAGTCAATGAGGTGAGTGGGAAGTTAATACATTCGTGGTAGGTAATGAAGGATTTAAGTGATGGATTAATTGGATTAAACATGTGTTGATGGTGGAGAGTTAGTGGAAAAGAAATAACGGTGAGGTAGTGGGCGTTAAATGGCTATGAATGACATGAAATAGGCTCTTTAGCTTTAACGATTTTGTCTTCTCTTCTCCCTCTTTACTTCTCTTTATAATCACAATAATCTCACAATCAATTCTTCAATAAAATCCGCCAGCAATTCTCTTCACACCGAGCTTGAACTTGGACAAATGTATTCTTCCTCTTTTGGCTTTCCAACTTCCTATAAAAGATAAATTCACCTAATAAGTTCACCAAATTAATACAGAAAATTCATAAATCCAGTTGGTGAGAATAAAATGTAATAACAAGTGAAATTATATCTATTAAGCCAAAATTATATCATAAAGTCTCCAAAATAATATTAAAAAGATGTTATTTGAGACTCTCATCAATACAATCGAACTAACTTAGGCATTGGAGGGTCTTTGGTCAACACCCCGCGGATGTGGTCTTTTACTCCTATTTGATTTTAAGGGAATCGAGGAAATGAAAGAAAGAAATTCAAAAGATGAAGGATCTTCAAGCGAATATTCTCCCGTGAAATATTTGCACCAACAATTTTTGCTTCCGCTAAATTACCTAAATACTCAGTTCACCCGTATCCTACATCGCTCAAACTCATTATAAATATCCAATTTCGTCTTTAGCGTTATTTCCATCCAATTTTCTGCCAAAACCTCACATGCTTAGTTATTTGATAAATATAAACAATAAAAAATTGTAGAATTTGCATTGGTTATTGGGCGTTATCCATGTAAATCAAACCATCACTCTGTTTGTTTTATTTTTTATACACGTGTGACTTCTGATAACTGTTAACAATAAGCACAAGTTTGATCAAAATAACACATCAATTTGTATGCATTCCATTGTCAATAGCCCTCCAAAACAATATACAGAGTAAAACAAAGAATGAGCTTCTCAAACTCACACTACTCCAAAGAATCAAAGAATAAGCTGGAATTAAATCATGAAACAAATGACATCTATATTAGGTGTTGGTTTCCCTGGTGTGGCGTTGAACTAGGAGGGAAGCTGAATGGATCTCCGAACGGGTTCGAAGAACCCGGGAGCTGCATCTGTTGGGGGTATTGAGAATAATAAGGGTGAGGCACCATCATCATGTTCTGCTGCTGTTGATATTGCTGGTTCTGTTGCTGAAGGATTTGCTGATGTTGGTGTTGTTGTTGAGCCATTAGCGCCATTTGCACGTTGGTTGGGGGTGCTATGTTGTTGGACATTGCAAATGGATCTTGCACAGGATGTTGTGCTTGTTGTTCAAACGGGTTATGCAAGCTCGTTGCACCGTAGCCATAGCCTGCGTTCTGGAGCTGTATCTGTCTCCTGGCACCTTCATCTTCGTACAAGCTATCAAGTAATAGCTTGTCAAAGCCACCAGCCTGACCCGAAAATGAAACCAATGCTCATCAACAAACCAAAGGGTAGAAGAATGAAATGAAAAATCTTTAGCTTAATGAAATGAACAGAAAAGAATACTAACAAACTTCTTGTCCATGGGCACTTGGCTTGTATGGTTGCTTGGTGTGGTCACCAGTGCTAGCTCCCAGCCTGAAGTCCCAGCAAGATCATTGAAACTTGCTCCAGATTGTTGTTCGTTCCCTGCGAATGTATGATTAGTATGATGTATGAAACAAATTCCACAGTGAAGGCATGTGTAGAATTTCCTCAAAATCAAATATCATAGACAATGGAAACCTACCTTGTGGAACTATTGCAAGAGCCAAGGCATTGCTTTCTTCAATTTCTGCAGCTTTTGGATTTATTTCCCTTAGACCCTGGACAAAGAAAAGGCAAAAGACAACATGAATTGCAGAACTTCATAAAATTGGCATCAGAGAAAACATGAAGTACTTGTGCATAACGTACCAGAAGATCAGTGTCGTCAGTTGATATCAAAGGAGGAGGTTCAACTACCTCTTCCTTAGGTTGGGGTTCTTCCTCTTCCTCCGTTTTCTCCTCTACTTCTTCTTCTTCTTTTTCAGGCTCTGGAGGAGGAGGAGGTTCTTCAGGTTTCTGAGGCTGCTGGTCTGTCTCCTGGTATTCCTATAGTTAGAACAAAATTATCAGAAACTTGGAAGAAATTATGGCAACCTTTTATTTTCATTTACTTTTCTATGTCAAATTCTGAGACAGAAAAATAAATTATGGAAACTATCTCACCAGTCTCTTGTTAACAGAACCGGACTGCGGCGCTTCCTTTATATACTCCTCCATTGTTGCAAGAAAGGATGGAGGTGGCTGTTTAGGGCAGAGAAGAAAATTTGTGAGAGACCATGTAGTGGAGTCAACTTAAATATACCACTATGAGGCCAAATGGAACCTGTCTCAATGTTGGAAACTGAAAAGTTCTAGCAAGATCCAAACCCTTGCAATATTCATAAAAATCAGCTAGGGCTTCAGCCTGCAGTTCAATAAAGGAAAAACAATTTTTGAGGGGGCTGATCCAGCAATTTACAGAAGTGCATATTTTCATACAAAAGATTCCAAAAACAGTACCACTGTATACCTGTTGGCCGGCTCTTTTATAAACATTGAGAGCTTTAACTGCATCATGTCTTGACATATCAAAGAACTGCAGGAACATGTAACTTAAATTGGTATTATTGAAAAAAAATAAAAAGAGAAAACATCATTTAACAGCGGATTCAGTTCAACGAAACATAAGAATCTCATAGTCTTACCATGTCAACAAGATTTATAATTCCGTCGTTGATGGCACAATATATTTTAAAGCTCTCTTTTAAAACCTGCATGGAAGAGGACAACGTTGAAATCCAGAAGCAACTTGTGAGAAGGCATATATTATGTTTTCCCAAGGATGTTATGGCCTTAACAATAAAGAATTGTTATGAAAGCTTGCATAAACTGTACACTTCCAGACCGTATTTGGATAAATTTGGGTTTCTATGACAGACAGTGTAATGAAAGAAGTTCTGTCAACAGTTCAGGGCCCGTGTATCGTACATGTAAATTAAATATAAAAGCCATAAACCTCATGAATTTCATGTCCTAATTTACAAAGTGTGTGAATTTCCTGTCCTAATTTACAAAGCATGTGATGCATAGAACAGTTTTCAATAAAGGCATGCAGAGACGCTCTCACACTCTGATCATAGAAAAATGGAGATTGGTGTCATGCATACCAGAGCTAAGGCATATTGTATGAGGTAATTGGTAAAAGCTGTTCCCTCAGGCTGCAAAATAAGAACAAATTAGAAATTCCAACCTAAGGAACCAAATGTTCCAATAAGAGAAACTGTCATGGATCAACATAAAGTATTTGACCGTAAAGAACCAAACCATATTTAGTGTTCTGTATCAATATTAACTTATTACCTGGCAGCCCATGAGGCGGTAAAGAAGTTGCTGCAGTGCAGGTAGCTGCTCCAACAGCTCATCGGCAGCCAATGTTCGTGTTCTACTATGTACCTAGTGGAGTTAATAGTATCTTTGTTATGCTAAAGATGATGATGAAATTCAGTGCGAGAAATGACAAGCACAAACCACACCTTTGTTGATCCTGGTGATGTTTTTGTCAAACGCTCCGACTCAATGTCATACTTCAAAACTCGGAAACACTCCAGCCGTTCTTCTAGAAAGAGTGCATATGTCCTAACCCAAGCAGAGCAATCCCAAGCTGCAAGGTAGAATTTGGTCTAAGAAGGGACTGTTACAATATTGGCAACATGTTACATAAAAAAACAGCCGTGGAAGGTAGAAGCATTTTACCAAGGGGACTTGAGTCATCTTTAAAATTGGAAATTTGGAGAATGTGTCCTCTCTGAGAATAGTTTAGAAGCTCTTCTCTAAAGGTAGGATCACCCTCTCTCAATGTTCTATGAATAACTATCAGTGTCTTTATGGCAACCTGCAGATTTTGTCAACTTGTCATTAGGTAAGTGATTTGCTACATTTAAGGAACCAAGTCATAACATGTTTGCAATTGAATTATCACATCAGTTCTTTTGAGCTTGTTTTCATGCTAGCTTTTTGCAACTGCTACTAAACCAATTCGTATCAGTTATATTGATTCGAAGCCCCCCGGACCTTGAGCCAAATTTACATATTGTTTCAATTAAGAACAAACACTATGATAAGAAGAAGAAGAAGAAGAAGAAGAATTAAGGACATACAATCCAGCTCCGAGTCTTGGACAATCTCTTGGCCAGAGCATGAATGCAGTATGCCACATCTGCCCGTGGACGTGTCACAGATGTTGCAGAGAAAATCTCTATGCAGGGAAACAAAAACAAAACCCCCCAAAGAAAATAATCAGGAATGAGAATGAGACTGAATTAGGAATGATCATTAGTGCAAGAAATGCAAGGCATTTAGACAATGGAAAATACAACTACAAACATTCTGTTAGCAAATGCAAGGAAAATGACCACAATTACAAATCTTGATAACCATTGTCATGCAAATTCAAATCCTCACATCATTCGAAACACAAAATCATAAATGTAGAAAATCAAATGAAAAAGACATAAACTCACTTCGAACATGGCGTTCCTTCGGAGGGCACTCAACATGACTGGTGGCCTTCACCGTGGCAATATCCAAATCCTTCCAACAAAACCAACATTTCATCAAACAAACAATCAAAAACCAAAATGCTAGACATTAACAGAGCTCAAGAAACAAAACCCATCAATCAAATTTGCTTCTTCTTCATTTTTTTTTTTCCTTCTTGGTACCTTGAATTCGCTGTTGACCTTGATGAGGCCAACCTTGGTAGAGTCCTTCAGAGCTCCATAGGCCTTCCTAAAGCTCTGGAACGTACCCATCAAATTGTTCTTTAAAAAAAATATATATATTTATATATATAATTGTTTTTTTTTTCTTCAAGAACACCAACACCTTTTCTTGTGTTGGCCTAGAGAGATTCAATTCAGGGCTAGAGATAGAGAGGAGAAGGAGATCATGGTGCTGAAGATGTTCTTGTTCTCTGAAACCGAGTCGTTCCAACAACAAAAACAACCAACGACTCTCTCTCTCTCTCTCCCCTCCAAGGCTCCAAAATGTGCGCAACAGGAAGGACTATAATTATATGGGCATTATTGTAGTTTTATTCCCCCCCACCTTGTGTTTTTTTTAAATAAATAAAAAAATTTGCCAAACGTTTTTTTCTCTCTTTGTTGTCTGTTGATTTTGAACTATAAATCACCAGAATATTTCATGATTATTATTGGTATCTATGGGTTTGATTTGAGAATACAAAATGGCGGGTATTTTATTTGTATGTGAAGTACTGAAATACCCATAGTTGTTTATGACTTGGTGGAGGGAAAGGATGGGTATTTTGGTCATTTGGAATCTCAAGTTTTTGGGAGATCCAGTACAGCCTGGTGTAGATTGTAGAATGAGAGGACAGGCTGGAAGCATATGGTGAACCACCACCTACAACACCTCATAAGATTAGGTGGCAATTGGATGGTCTGGTGGAAATTCCATTATTTTTCTTTTTCCCTTCCCTATCCTCCCTCTTTTTCTTTTTTTCTTTGCTTCTGATGTGACTGATCACCATTTTTCTGTCTACCCTCTTTTTTTTTTAACTTTCTAATCATTAAAAGTAAAAATTATAAATAATAAAAAACAAGAGATGTTGCCAGAGGTCACGTTTCGTGAGTCGAATTAGACTGGATTCTTTCAATTAAATTGGATAAATATTTTGGCCTTCGTTTAGTATGGCAAAACTAAACTTAATAAATTAGATAGCAATTCCTTACAAGTACCATTGAAAATATTTTTCATTTCTTACATGTCAGTAAATATTGGTAAAGTCAAGAATTGGAATCATTCATTTTCTTCTGATATCCATTGATGGTAAGTAAACATGATTTAAGAATTAACTAGGAAGGGTCTAAATAGAACCACCAAAATATTCCCTCCTAATTTAAAAGGAATTTCCAAAGAGCGATTTGGAACATTCTCAAAGACCATAGGTATAGATGTTTGATAAAATGGGTTACAATGCATTTATATTTGATCAAATTAATTATTATTATTATTTTTGAATACAAGTGATTACCTAAACTACAAAAGGGAGGGGGAGTGTCATGGGAGTTCGAATGTGAGACCACTGATTTACAAGTCAATGCCCTTTTTTATTGGACTACACCCCGTTAGAAATAATGATTATTAAATAGGAATCATATATCCTCAATTCCCATCCATTAGGAGTTAAATTGATCAATAGGAGAGGCACTAATATGCTATAAAAGTATGTGTTAAATAATAAACAATTCATTTTGAACATTTTTTTTTAATAACTCACTTTTTCCATACGATATTGTCACGCCCCGAACCCGGGGGTAGGCGGAAACCCCGTGCCCGGTGCGTGAGAAAATAAATAAAAATAAAAAGAAAAAGAAATCTGAAACATAAAATAAACTTCTCTTAAAACAATAGATCCCAAAATCTTACAACTTTACAATAAATAAATAAAGCTCTAACACTCTCATCTAATTCATCCTCAACTGGTTTAGTCATTGTCTTGCTCACTAATTCATCTGAAAAATTAAACAGAGTGAGGGATGAGCAACCACCGCTCAGTAGGGACATGAGACCTTACCACAGTAGATTGATATAACTAAATTAAGTGACATGCAATCACACAGCCAAATACCATATTAATTAACAATGCATGAATGAATGCTCTTCATCTAATCCCGTTAATTCATATAACTGGACAAGCAGACCTGCACGTCCCATACCATGCTTATACCACTTGGTCCCGAATGCCCATTTATATGAACTAACCCCCATTTCAATCATCCCATAATTCCCCTTTTGTTAGTCATCTTGTCTACCTCCCTTTCGCCAGTCCCGAATCACCCAATAAAAACCATGTGCACTGTGGGATCCTTGAGACATGGTACCTGCCAAGAGTTAGACTCAACTACACAAAAGCTCCTTCCCATTACCCTCTTTTCCATACTTTCTTTATCAACCCAAGAATTCTAGCCATCACCGATAACATGATATAATTATGCATTTCAAATAATAATAGCATGCATAATATAGTACTCACGAAATTTAATTAGATCAATCCCCGTAAAGACACCCCAAGAAATCCCTACCTTGTTTCCAAAGCTAATTCCAAGTTAAGAAAACACACGAGCTAGGACCTCTAATTCCTCTAGAGAATCTATCACCACTAGCCTTCTTTCTTCCTTTATCTTCTTCCTCTCTTTTTCCGTCCCTCTCAAGAACTATTACTTTGCATGCGTTGTGTGCAACCTCAAATACAAAGTTTTTGTGTTTTCAAATAAGAAGCAACGGAGGGACCTATTTATACTAGAAGAGAACATGCATACTTATTCCCCAAGAATAGAATCTACTTATCCTCCAAGTATCATAAATATCTACTATATTTAATAATTAAGTACTTGTTTGTGTGTGCATGTGTCAAAAGAATGAATATAGACAAGCCACCTCAAGTTAAGATGAATTCCTACGTGTTGCTTCACCAAAATTCTATTGCTAAGAATGCATGTGAAAGCTCCACATGCTAATTCCAAGCCATGGTTTGTTGACAAGGAAAAAGTAACTTAATAAAGCAAAACACATCCACTTAAGAGCTAGTTAATTGTTAATATATATATATATATATATATATATATATATATAAAGATTTAATGGAATAACATACATGTAAATATTGAAATGGTAAAACGTAAAACAACTATACATATATATCTCTACCTTATCAAGATAACTACATTTATAATAGAATTTATTTATTTATTTTTATAATAAATAATGAAGAAAACAGACTCTCACAGATATACATACCTGACATCACCCTGTGAGCTCCCATTCAACCCGTCTTGAAACACAGACCAAAGAGTCTAACAAAGTGTGCGAGTCAACAGGCGATTAAACCCATAAGGTGTAAGGAAGCTAACTGGCGGGATCCCTTTGAGGGTTGTACAGCCGACCGATCTTGATCTTTTGAGAAGGGTTCGGGTGAGAGCATGCATGTCGGGACCAAAAAGATAGTGAACTATGCCGACGAAAAAACTTATCATGTTAATATTAGTAACCAAATAAATGAGGTTAAAAATAAAAAAGATTTTGTAATTGAACACGACTACGTATTTCATATGATCACTCCAATAAAGTCACTTACAAAAATTTTCAAATACATGTATCTCTAAAGCGGAGTTCCTAAATGTTAAAAAAAAAAAGAAAAAGGAAGGGACTAAGCCGATAGGATTATCTATAGAAATTTTGAATGCCTGTCTATTTTTCAAAGGCTTTTCAAAGATCATCCATATTGAGTCATTCTATAGTGAGGGTGTAAGGCCCTTAGATGAGGTCTTATCTCTTAACCGTTGGATCAAACTAATCAATTTGATCCAACGGCTAATCAATTTGATTGGATTAAACTAACAAATTTTATCCAATAGTTAAGAGATAAGGATCCTCTAAGGGCCTTAATAAGGCAGAAAAACAAAAATAGGCAAACAAAAATCACCAAATTAGAAAAACAATTAAAATACAAGGACCAAAATGCCCAACTTGGTCAACTATTATCAGGCCCAAACTTTTACTGGGCCCAACCCAAACAAAGGTCCGTTATCATACAAAACTCTCTCGGTCTGAATCTCACCGGCTACCTCTTTCTCTTCCTCCAATCCCTCATTTGCTCGAACTCCTCATTTCCTCCTCTTGCTACTTTGATTTCTAGGGTTAGGGTTTCCAATTCTCTCTCAGGGTGTCATTACAAATGGCGTTGAGGAGAGTCTACAACGAGATTAAGGGGTTGAAGGTGAAGGAATTGCCCAGCTATGTGAAGCCGATGTTGTCCGTCGACTACGCGAAGAAGACGGTGCAGAAAGGCTTGGACAATTACAACGCCAAGTACATCCAGACCAGCTCCATCGATCCTCTCTTCCATGTCTGCTACGGGGGCATGATCTTTTCCTACCTCGTCGCTCTTCCTGAGGAGCGTCGCCACCTCGAGCACCAGCAGCACGCCAAGGAGCATGGCCATTGATCTGAATTGGTATAGTCCTAAAATGTTTCAATTTTCTTTGTGTGAATTCAATTCATATATATATATACATATTTGTTTATTCATGATTGGTTTTTTTTAAAATGGATCAAGGATTTAATGATTGAAAATTCAAAAAATGTGTATAGGTGTTTTGAAATGGGTCATTGGAGATTTTGCTGATAACAGATGATGTTTATTTTCCTTATTAATGGGTCATTGGAAGATGTTTATTTGACTTGAGGGTTTTGTTTGTAAACATTTCAATGTATGTTTTTGTGGTCCTTGGGTTCGGCTTTTTGATATCTTCTCTGGTCGGAGATTTTTGTTGATTCATGATGGGTTTTACTTGTTTATCTGATCTTAGTGTATTGAAGAAGGTGTGAAAATTTATAGATTTGAGAGTAGGTGATCTTTTGCATGTTGGCTTAGTAGGTGATAATGTAATGAACATATTTTTGTCTATCAATCCTTGATTATTTGTCGTAATAAATGGGTGAGCAATGAAATAGTTTTCCACCATTGTTTGCTTGAAGGTGGAGCTTGATTGCCGGAAGAGAGTAACTCTTGCTTTGCGTATATTATTTTCATGCATTTGTGGGTTAACATTGTGATAGTAATTAACGGAATTGCATATTTGCGTTGGTAAATGGGGAGCAATCATCACAGAATATTACTTTGGCGCCTATCTTATTTGGCTTCAATGAACTTAATATATTGTTGATTTTAAAAATTAAATTGCATAGGGATTTGAAATCATCTGTAATGAAATGGATAAAAAGGAAATCATATGTTTTGTGTTGGCTGTTTAAGAGTGTGCACGATGCCTTATGTAATCCCATTATGGAGTAGGTTAGATATCATAGTTCTTATACTCCTTAAACACAAATGCGCTCTCTCGAGGTCTTATTGTACTCTGTTAGAGTTGGATTTAGTTTTGCATCTCAAACTGAGGTTTGGTTTAAGTTGAGTCAGAGTGATTAGGCTATGCTATATCCATATTTAATGTCCCATTTGGGTAAGACGTCAATGTACTCCTGCCTGATTGAGCTTCAGTCCATTTAGCATATAGTTTTAGGATGTATTCTTCTTTCAGCTGCTTTTTCATGCAATTCTCTTCAACTTGGTTATATCTGCTGTTACTTAAGAAACACTTTTTGTCAATCAGAGTGTGTAAAGTACCATTTATACCCTTTTCATCTTTAATAAGTTTGATAATAAATATAAAAATTAAGTGCAATATAGTAATTAGCCCTACTTCTCATTGCAATGTACTCCTGGCTGTTCTCATGTTTAATTTTATCATGTTTAAACTCTAGTGTTTGGGCTCTATCTAGTGAAAATGTACATACACTAGTCATTTTCCTGTTGGTTTGTGAAAAAGAAGTATGGAAATTGATTGAGGAACATACCTACATGACCTAGTTCATGTGTCATTCATTTGGTACACAATCTTGTTGAGTTTCTTAGGACATTGAATTGGCAACAGTTTTATCTGTTAACGACACTTGTGAAGTTTTTTAATTTAAATTTCTTACAATGAGGCCGTTTTGAGGTTCTCTTTTTGTTTGCTCTGAATTTATTGAATTTGATTACAGGATGATATACAATGTCCTCTACTCTTTCTAAAAAAGTGGCCCATCTACTTAGAGAATTTACATATTTAGATATAGAAATGTGAACTTTAAGAATTTTCTCCACCTAATTATGTCTTTAGAAACACTGCAATGACTGAGCTAAATATGTTTGTTGAAACAAGGGTTGCACTGAGAAGATTGAAGTCCATAGTTTACTAAGCTGGAATTGACGTACATGTTGTTGATGACCATATTTGACTAGGTTAGAAAATGCATCTTTACTTGATTAAAAGCCATCTATGTATATGACTCTGCACGACTGACAATATATCCTTGTTCTTTGTGCTACTGAAAGCACTCTTCTCCGCCTCTCAGTTCCTTTGTTCCTTTCTAGTTTGTCTTTTATTTATCCGGAAATAATACTTTCGCTTCTAAATTTTGCAGGTTAATGAGCGCTTTGGGTGTTAGTTCTCCAATAAAATTTACTTGGCCACTGGGTATCTTGCCTATTACTTTTGTAATTTGACCATTGAATGAGTTGTTAGTAATAATCAACTTCTGTCATTTAATGTATTCTGCTGCTGATTTTGTTATCGAAAAATGATTTGTCTTTGTGCCTTCCTTTACATCAGTATTAATGTGGGTTGAAGGTGAAATCCTTTGCACTCTTTGTCTAATTTTTGAAGGGTTTATACAAAATGTATTTCACTTGATGCTTTCATTGTTCTACTTTGGCCTTGGCATTCAGAGGCCGGGAAGTTGGCACGAGGCAATCTTTTTCTTTTCACTTGATGCTTTCATTGTTCTACTAGAAGATTGCATTTCTGATGTGTACTTGTTGTAGCAGTTTTTGTTATGATTAACTTGTAATGACAGTGACACCCATCAATTAATCACATCCACCAGTTAATCACACCCATCAATTTTGTAGTCAGAAACTGTGGTTTTGTAGCACATCATAGCCATCAATTGCTAAACCGTCTGAGTTATGCACCAGTTCTCTTGCCAATATAATCAAGAGTATCCAGGGGAACAGAGGGAAAGATGAATTTTTGTGGGCAAATTGAGCACATTCCTACGCAAACATCAAACATTTAAATAAAATCTACAATCCAACCTCCGAAGTCTACCCTATAACCTTTATATGAGTTTCATCACTAATGGGAACTTCCTGTTGGGGTTGGGGATGCTAAATGCTTGAAGTCTATTGCCAATAACGATCAACAAACAGAGGTAGTACTAGGAAGTTTTCTACCATCAGCTGCCCACATGCGGCGGCTGAAATTTAATTGTTGAGGCATCCGCCCACAGTTTTGTTTTGTCAAATTTATACTTCCAATTGGGCCAAAGATAATTATCTTAGCTCCTGCTTTGTCTTATAGCCTACTAAACAGCAAAAAATGGTTTCAGGAATTAACTCACAATCTGCCACTCTCATATTGACAAAATTCTTGTTCCGATAGCGACTAACCGTAGCATATCTCAACGTATTACATTCCTTGACCCAAAACCCAAAAACATGAGCAAAATAATAAAAGGTATAATTAGACAATTTAGTATGTTTGTATTGTTAGACTTGCAATCTATACCACATACTCAAGAGGTATAGTTTAAAGAGTTCGATCCCCTCAAATGTAACAAAACAATAAGACTTCATTTGGATAGATGAATTCCAAGTCTATGGATTTTGATGTGATTATAAGGTAAAACTGTTTGTTTAGACTATTGCAATCCGCGTATGCCAAAATTTAAAAAAGAAAGAAAGGAAGAAAACAAATGGATTCCAGGTGATTCCTTAGATTGGATGTAGTCATTTTAAAAATTAAACATCTAGTTATTTAAAATACATTCAATCTAATACGATTTTTGTTTTTATAGCAAATTTAGTATCGTTGTCAAATCCAAATTCTTTCTTTATAATCATTCCATTCAAATGGAGCCTAAGAATTTACATAATATATTGTACTATTGGGTAGATAACTTTTCCTTATGGGACCAAGAAGAATAGGTTACAATAAAAAAAATAAAAATAAAAAGAAGAAGAGGAAAAGACACAAATACCCTCAGACGAGTTTGAATAAAGCGATAGACATTTTGAGTTTGAATTGGATTGACAACAAAAAAACTTAAGTTATGGAAGTCGAAGTACATAATGCGATAGACATTATGTACTTGCCAAAGAACTGAGACTAATAAGAACGGAAGTCTGAATAAAGCCAAAACGGCTAAGAACTGAGACTTGCCTAGATTCGTTTCATGTTGCTCTTGGGACTACGAGAAAGTAAGTTCACAATTCCATAGTTTAGAACAGACTCCTCCATGCTAGTATACCTACGCAATACTTTCAGCTCTAATCCTACTACTTTAGTTTAATTCTATCAAAATTACTAATTACTTGACCATTGAAGAATCATTGGCTGGCACCACATCGATACATTTTCAGTTCTCGAGTTTGCTCATCTTACAAGTTACAATCGTAATTCCGAAGAGCATAAATTTGTGCTCCAACAAGAGAATATTTTGCTAGACACCCCTTAATTATTTCAGTTAAAGTAATTCAAATACATGAAAAAAAAGGTGAATCGAGCAAAATCCAAAAGGAAAAAAACTCAAAGACATGAAAGAAATTTTTATTTTTGAGAAAAGACATGAAAGAAAGTTAAGCAACAAACCAAACAGAAAATGCAGTTAAAATTGACAAAATGGTGGGGGCTGTTATCTATATATTCTATATTGCTCCAAGAATTTTTATTTTTATTTTTTTAGCGAGAAAAGGGATGCATGAATCATAACAGATTTGTATCCTCTTTGTACAAGAATTCATCGATTCGAAAACAGAAACTTATTAGACACATATGATTGATTGATCATTCCCTAAGTGAAGAAGACTATAAATAGACAGGACTTTTAGAGAGAGAGAGCGAGAGAGAGAGAGAGAGAGACCGTTGGGTGGCGCTTCGGGGAGGAGAGCAGAACTGCCCAGAGAGCACCATTGGGGAAAACCCCAAGAACCCAAATTTTGTCAAAATTTGAAATTCCTGGAGCAATTAATCCAAAACCCATCAATAACTCGACAATTCCAATGCTTCTTTGCTTGTATATATGAATGTATACGTGGTGTATATATATATATGTATGTTTTGTAGCAGCTTCAAAGCCCAACTGTTCATAGATCTCTATTCTTTTTCAGGTGAGCTTCCCATGTTGCCTTTACCTCTCAATTTGCTTACTTGACTGAAATTGGTTTGAAGCTTGAATCTTTTGCGCTCTGTTCTAGTTTTTGTTATGTTGTGATCTGAGCTTTCAAAATCAAATCCTCTAATTGGGAGGCACAAGATCACTGTTCTTGTGAGTTTGCATTGAGCTTCTGCTTCTAACAAAAGAAGTCTCCTTACAATGACTTGTCTCGTTTGAGATGACATTATGTTTCATTGCTTTGTTTAGTAATCTGTTATGATATATCTACACACATTACTCACACACAAACACTTTGTGACAATTCCATATCAGCTGAGGAAAGAAGAAGCCCTCTTTGCGGGAAAGACGATCGAATTTGACTTCATCTTTTTCTTGGCTAATTTGCACTATCTTTTCTTTCTTGAAGCTGTTCTTTTGTATTCAGTAATTAACTTCACTTGGCCAAGAGGGCACTTTATTCTTCTAGTTGTCATGAATTCTTTCCAAAATTTCAATGCACAGACAAACTTTATTTAAAATGTTTGAAATCGGGGATGCCAGCAATTAAAACATGTAAACTCTGCAAAACTAAATTAACCTGATAGCTCTTGAGATTTTTCTGTTGTATTATATGTCAATTTTGTGCTGTAAAACTTTTCTCTGCTCTATCCTGTCATTGTTTCTGGTCTGTTTTTTTTTTTTCTTTTCCTTTTCTATCTTTAAAAGTTAATACTAACCCATTTTGTGTTTGGATTTTCTGTATTGATACATTGGTTGGCAGAATGCGTGGTCTTGGAAAAAAGTCATCCCTCAAGGAGTCAGGAAAACCTCGTTATCCCAATTCTGTAGCAAAGCTAATTTCATCACCAAAATTTAGAAAAGGTGGCAAAGTTTCCCATGTTAAAAAAATAAAACCAAAGTCCAAAACTATTATTGCTTCATGCTTGTCGAAGAAGAGAGGTGCTGACTCTTCAAGGAAGGGGTCTAGGAATAATGATACTGATAAAAAATTGATGAGTAGAAAAGGAGTTCATAAGGTACATGATACAAATTCTTCCAAAAAGCTGTCTTCTGTGAAACTTCAGGATGAGAAGTTCTCATTCAAGGGCTCTGACAAGAAAGGGGAAAATGCTGATGGGGAAGTCAACCTTAGAATAAAAAGGAGAAGAAAGAAGAAATTACAAAAGGATAAGGTGGAGTTAGATGAAACTTCTCGCTTGCAGAGGAGGACAAGATACCTGCTGATTAAAATAAAGCTGGAGCAGAACCTCATTGATGCTTATTCTGGTGAAGGTTGGAAGGGTCAGAGGTATGATAAAATTAACTTAATTATCAATGTTTAAGCTAGACTAGAAAGAGAGGATTGAAATTTTGAAGATTTGATAAAGTAACCTTTTGAACCATGCATGCTCTGGTTTCTCAACAATAAGAATTTATGTTAAGAGGAATGGAATAAAGATGCGACTGGATAGTGTTGGAAGTTATTTCTTTGATATTATTTGATTGAATTTAAAATTTCTAATCATTTTATTAGATTGTGTGTTTTCTTGAGCTCTTTTCTTCAGCAAATAGCTCAATGTTGTAATTCTTTTAATTTTTTATTTCTACCACAGCCGAGAAAAGATTAAGCCAGAAAAGGAACTACAAAGAGCTAAGAAACAGATATTGAAATGTAAGCTTGGAATCCGTGATGCTATTCATCAACTGTATTCTCTGAGTTCAGTGGGTAGCATGGCAGATTCTGTTATTGCTGCAGATGGATCTGTTTATCATGAACATGTAAGTAGATGTCATTACTATCCTTTTGGTTTCTCTCTCTCTCTCTCTCTCTCTCTCTAGAATCTAATTTATTGTAACAAGAAAATAAAGCAACACACATTCTGTTTGTGTGGATGTGTGCTGAAAGGGGCCATTTGGAATAACCAGTTGTGCTAGAAACTTTTGCAAAAGCATGCAATAGATTGAGAATTAAAGAATGAGCGATCCTTGCGGTCTTGGCTAAGGTCTTGCTTTTCAGACGGCTCCGAACCCTTGGATACTAATGAAATGGTTTTGGGTTTGCAAGAATGGTTCTGTGGTTTTAGGTTAGCAAGAATGGTTTTGCCTTTGATATAATACCTCGTATGAGGTGTTGCCACATTGTCTTGGTTGCATGCTTATTTATGTACTAGTTTTTGTTATTGTTAGATATTCTGTGCGAAGTGCAAGTTGAATGAAGCATTCCCCGATAATGATATTATACTGTGTGATGGGACATGCAATTCTGCATTCCACCAAAAATGTCTGGATCCTCCCTTGGATACTGAAAATAGTAAGTTTCTCACCTTTTCTGAATTTGTTTTGGACGTTTTGGTGGCATACCAATTAGATTTTGTTAGCAAACAGTTACTTTAAGTTTAATTGATAATCTTACAGTTCCTCGAGGAGATCAAGGCTGGTTTTGCAAATTTTGTGAGTGTAAAATGGAAATACTAGAAGTAGTCAATGCTCATCTTGGGACCTGCTTTTCCAATGACTGTGGTTGGCAGGTTAGTCATTACCAGAATCATCTAGAAATGCCAAATTTTTCCCCACTTTTTACTTTTGATTTCAGAATTTAGTAATTCATGTAATTACCGTCTCTCCATGGGATAGGATGTCTTCAAGGAAGAAGCCGCTTTCCCTGATGGTGAGAATTCGTTATTAAACCCAGATGAAGAATGGCCTTCAGATGATTCTGAAGATGATGATTATAATCCAGAAAGGAACGAGAACAGCTGCAGCTTCAGCATGGGAGGCACTGATGACAATGCATCAGATGACGAATTGTCAACTGATGTCAGTGTAGGTTCTGATGAGTCTACTGATGGGGAAGTTGTTTCTGGCCGCAGACAGAGAAGACGTGTTGATTATAAGAAGTTATATGATGTGAGTATGCAGCCCAAATTTTTCGAGCTTTTTTTATTTGTTCCCTGAAAAATAGAACAGAGATGAATTATTGGTGGGACGTTGAGAAAATTAAATGTATGCATTTTAGTCATCTTGTGGTTACATGAGGAAACTTCATGTAGGCAGAGAGAGACATATAGAATGCTCTAGATAGCAATGCCTTCCTCAAGTACTAACAGAAAGGAATCTTGACTCTTGAACTATATCCTGCTCCCACTAATAATAGGACTCCAAATTGACAACATAAAGCTACAGAAGACTCTTGAGTCTTTTGAAAAGCTCCTAAAAACGCTAGTCTGAAAACAGAAATGTAATGTCTAATTTTCTAATTAAAGCATGACCTTTGATTCCTTGTACCTTTACAGCTTTAATTTCAATTGGATGCCACATTTGGGTCTGACAGAAGGAGAATGCTAAGTTTCCGGAAAATGAAATTACTTAGAATCCAATAATTTGACCCCTAGAGTTGTTTGCTTGCAGTCACCTTGGCATATAAAACAGTCTGTTTAGATATATTGTCAACCTATGAAATGCTTGTATCATAATGTAATCAATATAGATCTCTTTGGGGTTTATTATAATTTCTATTTCATGCAAAATTATGGGGTACAGTTCCCCATTTTGTTGTTACATCACCAGTTTTTTGAGGTAAAGGTCAGATACCGTATAATACATATTTCTTTCCCCTACAAGGAAATGTTTGGAAAAGATGGTCCTTTGCACGAACAAATTAGTGATGATGAAGACTGGGGTCCTGTTAAAAGAAAGCGGAGAGAAAAGGAATCTGATGCAGCCAGCACCCTTATGACTCTCTATGAAAGCGAGAGAATTCCAGATGTCACCCCTACAGAAGTGAAAAGTAAACATCCTCCAGATACTCAAGTTAGAAGGGCATGTTTCCGAATACCTCGCAAGGCAGTAGAGGTATTAGAACATATGACTCTCCCTTATGCTTTCAGGCAGAGGTATTTATAAATCTGAAGGTAGTACTTGATATTTTCTTGACTAAAATTCTGTGCTGTAATTTCCTATTCTAGAAGCTGCGCCAAGTGTTTTCTGAGAATGAACTTCCTTCTAGAGATGTGAAGGAGAATCTTTCAAAAGAGTTGGAACTAGATCCTGAGAAGGTAATGGCGATTGATGAACCCTAGTTTGTTGCTCTATGAGTCTTACTGCGTGCCATATTGGATCGAGAAAAAATTAGTTTAAAAGTTACTGATATGTTTTTCATCCAGTCAAATACATTTGCCTTTCTGGATTTTACTTTATTGGAAGTTTTGGTGTGAGTCTCTGAGAAATTAAATGCGTTGGTGTGAGTTTTGTGGTATCTGATCTGTGAAGTCAGTGTCACTGGGATATTAATACGGGATTGAAGCTTATGCTTTTCTTACATTTTCCATTGTTTTAATCCTTTTTAAGTTGCAATTTCCAGGTTAGTAAATGGTTCAAGAACGCACGTTACTTAGCCCTCAAAACCAGAAAGGTGAGCTAGTAGTCTCTGTATTTTTTTTTTATACCCCTATCTTCATATCTGTCACCGTGTTTTTCTTTTTTCGTTTACCTGTTTTAGCCTCTTTGAGTTCTCGCTGCTAAATAAAAATCAACAGTATATTGTTGGAAATATTTTCAACAAAGAGTATGATGGATCTTTTGCGCTACAGGAAGAGAGTGCTACAAACCTTCACACTTTTACTCCTGGAATCTCCAAGGAATCCACACATGAAAATATGACTGAAAAAGCTGCTGATCTCATGGCATCAGATTCAGATGATATCTTAGCTGAAACTGTGGTCCATTCTCCAAGAAATGTTAAGTCCTTCCGGAGAAAGCACCCAAAATCATTAAGCAGCCCTTTGAGGAAAAATCAACAGAGAGGATATTCAAGTGGGTCACCTGCAAAGAGAAACAAGGTCTTGGCCTATCATAATAGATAAAAATTAGGAAATTTCTGATTATTCCAGGGTCATTGGTATTATGGTTATTTGAAGGGTTACTGTGTTTTGGCCGGCATTGTCACCATGGTTTGTCAGTAAAATAGTAAAGTAGTTATTTTGCTTGTGAGACTTGAGCTTTGCTTAGTTTCTTAATTTTGGATCTTTTCCTTCAGAATAAGAGTTTTGAGTTTTTGTAAATTTGCAACCTCCCTTTTTTATCCAAAAATCTTGAAGTGTCCTACAGATAGTCACAACCTACTGATAGAAATCCACTGCACTTCAACAGACTTGTGATCTCAATCAGTCCCCATTTCTTACTCTCATCAACTTTGTTTTGTGTGGAAGAATTCCGGTGTATCATGGAGTTCTTCAGGAACAAACCCCCTTTGTCATCCTCAACTATTTTACATGCCTTAAATCTTCTTTTAAACAGTTGCGACTTACCTTTATTTTTGTCAGTGTGTTAGTAAGGGTATAGAAAATTGTGTGCCCACGTCAACTTATTTTTGTTGAACTTTTGTGACAGATGAGAGAATTGTATGATTTTTTTGGATAGATAGTATATTTATCCCAAATTATGTATGTTGGATAACTTGAATAATAATAAAGTTGACTCATGTGTTGGTTTGCTTTCATATAGGATGGAATGGAGTTGAGTGACAATGTGAGCTTGAAGAAGCTTTTGAAAGCAAGAACAAAGGAGAAGAAGGCCAACCTTATTGCTGGAGGTGGATGTCGAGTTGCAGAACTGGAAATGGAGAGACTATGTAATGCCAAAGGTAGGCTAGAAAGTATGAGACAGAAATTACTGAAATTTCAAAATGCCAAGGCAAAGAAGTCAAATAAATCTCTCTTGCATGAACAGTCTGTGATTTATGTTCCAATAGCAGAACTAAAGGAAAAAGTTTGATATTCTGAAATGTTGTGAATTTTCATATTAGCATTTTTGTCATCTCAATCATTGGGTGTTTCATAATTCCAAATGCCTCGCACTAACTTCAAATTTAACGTGTGGTGTATCAATTTTTTCTTCTTGTACAAGAATACTCTCTCTCTCTCTCTCTCTCTCTCAATTTATCTTTGAAAAGTGAAAAATAGTTTTGAGACGGGCTCCGAATTAACTTCAAGTTGAACATCCTGTTGTATTTGGTTTCTTTATCCCTTTTGGTAAATCCAGTCCTATAGTTTGATTTGGTTTGCAATCAAGTTCAAATTATTAATTTCGTTGAATAGAGAAAATTCGACGTGGCAATATGCAACCACCTCACAGGAGGCAACTTTTGTTTCCAAAACATTTACAACACCAATATCTTACCAAATAACTTGTTAGCATCAGTTTCAAACTTTTATTTTTATTTTAAGTCCAAGCGATAGTTTAAACTACAACTCACACACACTGCCAAAGGTGCCTTGGGGGTTTGAATCCGAGACGACTAGTCAGAGAACGATGATGGAACCATTTTTTTTCAAGTCATGACCTTTTTTCCCTTAGACTAGACCCTGTTGACAAACTTTTTTTTTAATACGGAAATTTAGGATAGAGACCAGAGGTTTAGACTTTTAGACTTGAACCATGCAATTGCATTTCTTTTTCCAACGAAATTTTATTGGAGACGATAGTTTTTGCAACCTCAGAATGGAACCATTTTAAGTTTCATCTGGATATCTCGCTACACTGGAAACAATGCCTGAACTTATGTTTTGTGGAAAATGCTCATCCTCAAATAAACTAGACCAGGAAATCTCACTCTGTTGTCGTTTCACTCTAAAATCCACCAATCAACAACACCTTCAACTACTTATGATGAAATCCACCAAGCCTTGTCACAAAAGCTTATAGGTAGTGTTAATCAGAGAACGAAACTTTAATAGAATAAAATCAAGGAAACATTTATAGTTACTACAAGCTTTCCCAAGGGAGCTGAAAATCCTAGGTTGTATATTTATCGTTATGAAAATCATGAAAAATATGATATTCACAATTTAGTCTTGTAGTTCTTCGTCCATCCATTCCACATTTCAGTTCACCCATTAAAGGATGAAAATCAAACAACACTGCTAAGGAGGTTAAAAACTTTAAAAAAGAGAGGCGCGCAAGGCAGTAGCTCATAAACATACACCTGCCTATATCATAACACATTCAACTGTGGTGAAAATTTCCAACCCAATTTGTTATATATGAAATAAATGTACAACATGAGTAACAAGCTGGGTTTGTATCGACACTTTTAATGAGTTCTCATCATATCATAGAGTTCGTATACTTTTTGCATCTGTTATGGGGTTTTGTAAATCACCAGTACTCTTGGTGCCATCCAAAGTATGCCGTTTTGCAGATAGCCGGGGCCTCAGCTGCATGTTATACGAAATAATAAGAACCCAAAGACAAACCAGAAGGAAAAAAAAAAAGGTACACAAACTGATGTATTACACTCCAGTTGGCCATTAGCACAAGTTTGAGAGAATTTTAAAAGGGAATTTCAAGAACTTTGTAAATTTTAAAAAGGATTTTCAGGAACTTTGTTCCGACAAAAGCACATGAATTTAAGACTATGAAACATTATGTAAGTTTAGATATGCTAGAAATTCACTACAACAGATGTTTCCCCCAATAAGTTTGCAAAGGAATTAGTAATCATCAATTCAATAGTAAAATTTAATGTCTCAGCTCAATTCTCTCACTAAATCTATCCATACCTCCCCTAGAAAAAATGAACACACATAACTTGAACCGTACATTCTTGTATGTACCAACCATTAGCTCATTTTTATTTATTTTGGCCCATACCATCTGAGGTTCACCGTTACCCAAATATTTCAACATACTCGGGAAATATATCAACCTTTTTCTTTTCATTTTTTTTTCTTTAGGTTATCCTTTAAAATTTCAGTAGTTTCATTGAGTTATTTACACTGACCGTCTCAATATACTTCAGTTGCTTTAGAACTTGATCCGTTCCCAGTTCCTGAACCAGACACATAAAAGGCGAGTTTGCATTAGAGTTAATAATAGAAGTAATATAGAACAGACTATAAAACTATCAACCAAATCTGATAGGCATAAGAAAGATAAAATGATAGTGAAGTGTTTTCTACTAAGCCTTTTCACAATTAAAATATGCTGCCAAGACTAAACATTGAAGTTGAAGTTGCATCTCTTCACCAGATTCCTCTCATTCAAGTATCTCTTAACCAAAAACTCAACAATGACAACCTCAAAAATCCTAACCAAGTATAGAATCAAAGAAATTCTAAGTTTCTAACCCATGAACTAAAAACAACCTTCACATCATTGTCTTTTTATGAAAAAAATAAAGAGAATTTCAGTGTTTCGGATAATAGAAGTAACGGAGGAACAAGAAAGGTTTTAACATAAGATATAGTTATAGTAGTTAACTCTTCAACAAACTCAGATATGGTTTTGTGAAACAATTAAGATAACTTTGGTTTGGAGATGATGGCGGTAATGGAGGATACAAATGGTACTGATGGCTTTAAAGATTTAGGCACTAGAGGCTTGAGTAGGAATACTGTCGTGAAGACCACAGAATCTAGCAGTTGCAAAATGTGAGCACATTTGAGGACCCTGTCAGTAGAAATTTGATATTCATTTTCTTCTAAGAGTTTCATAATATGGCCCAAGTATCCAAAAATAATCTAAAAACCCGAGACATATGAAGACTGTCAGAGATATGTCCACCTGAGGCACATTACAATCAGCATGGCTTGGATCCCAAAGGATAGAGCAGAAGCACTCCCAGTCATCAGTTTGGACTTCAAAAAGAGGAGCCCTGCTATATGAGAATTTCCCATAATGTTAAAGATGTAGAACATAATCAACAAGAAGTAGAAAATCAATCTAAGAGAGCAAAAGAGATATAACACAAATTTTGATCAAATAGTATAAAACAAGTGCTGAATTTGTAACAAAACCTTTTTTAAGTGAAAAGCACGGCATTTTGGGGGTGGGAAGAAGGTTCGAGTCATTGAGGTTGTAGGGTGTTACCTGTAATTTGGGTTATTTGGATGGAAAGAAACGAGAGAAATCATAAAGTTTCAATCACTCTTCCAAAGTTTCATACTATGACTCATCATTTTCCTTTTGAGTATGTATGAATCATCAATTTTTGCCACTCAAGCATTTCCTTACCATCATACTATTATAAAATAATTTTGTTAGCCAAGAGACACCCTCGTCTCCTAAACATATCTGTGGGTCAATCAGAATTCCATCTGGTCCTAAAACCCTTTCTGTTCCCATCTTCCTTGATCCAAGGAGAAACTTTCATATAATCATCCTTCAATGACCTTCCATCGTTCTCACCACTCTTTATCATTTAACATTATTACAATTTTTAGTTTATCTCTACCTTAACTTTTCAAGTTCTTCGATATTACTTATTTGCTTACAGTAAGTTCTTGTAGCTTTTCTCCCCATCTTTCATGCCCATTATTTATTTTATTTTTGCTTGGATCCAGCTCTTCATCCATGCCACTTGAGCTAAGACTCATGAATCATGCCCATTTTAGAGTAAAAATCACTACATGTTTGACTTAGCATTCCATGCTACTCTTCACTTCCTCATCCATGCCCAATTATTGATCTGTTTGACAAATATTCTATGATTGATCATACCTCTGTTTTTACTCAGACGGCCTATCATTGCCACATCAGAACTCAAATTATATGTACAAGACATGACAACAAAAAAACATCCCCAGCGAGAAAAGAAGGGGGAGAAGTGCAGCTTCAACTTTGTACAATATGCCAGTATCTAGACATTAACATAAGAAAAGATTGCAATTGCACTGGGGACAGTCAAATAACTTTATAATTATCAAATTTGACAAGTCACAAACAACTTTCCTTCATTTATATCAGTGTTTCATGTTCTCCATTAAAGTAATTTTGCCAAATAATAATACTATACATATTTTTCAGAAAAATTTCCAACCAAACAGTCAAATCATAACCATCACAGGTTCCAATTAAGTGCTAAGTTAACATAAAACCATAAACAAATTACCTGCGCCACTTTCCACAAATAGTTCCATTTGCACTATCTACAACTTCTCGACATTGAAGCCAATTACCTATAGAGCTAACTCTAGAAAGTTTTTTGCAGTTCAGCGCCTACAATGAAAAATGGCCATTGCTCAATAGAATTTCCAAATCATCCTTGCTAAATGAAAATGCTGATTACAAATGCAGACACATCAGGGACTTACATTCAATCTAACATACTCTGAAGAATCTAATTCCAATGGTTCGCCAATGCCATCAATATCACTATATCAAACAAAACAATAAAAACTGTAACTTGTAAGCAGCATGCCAAAAGAGAGAAAATAGCAATTCAAAAAAGGGCAGGAGATGATGAAAATGTTTCTTTCCATAAAGCGCAGGAAAACAGAAGATCCCACACAAATAGCTATGAAGAAGGACAATCAACAAATTCTTCAGGAATACAACCAGCACACAGAAGGAGATCTTTCCTACCTGGCATGCTAAGTGCTTTGAAAACAAGGATATATGACAAAATAACTAAGGAAAACTACTTACGCTACTATAAACCACATAATGGAACAATCAGAAAGTCAAAGAACCAACTCAACTGTAACTTAGAGTGGAAAGGAGGAGTGACAAGGAAAGAAGGCAGCCTATAAATTTAACAAGGTTATCCATCCAATTTGTGAAGGCAGTATGCATTTAACCCGCATCAAAAGTTTCAAAAAGTTAAGAATAAATTATTGAATGAACATACTCATTTATTGGGCCTGACCAGTCAGGAACTTCCGCTTGAAACCCTTTGCCAAACCGAACACTGGTTGCATACGGCTCACTGTCTCTTAACATTAACAGTATAGGATTCACTTGGCCTTTAGATGATGCATTCCTGCACATGACACTGGTGATATTCGGTGATTTTTTAGCCACTTTCTCCTTTAAAATTTGCTTCTTTCTCAAACAAGAATGGCAGAACCATTCATCAAAAGGTACTGTCTTTATACGGGGGTGGCAGCATGACATGTGAAATGCCTCTTCACAATTATCACAAATCAGCATTTTCAGAGCAGTTCCTGCACGACTACAAATTTTGCATGACCGATGACAGCTGTCACTGCTACTGGTACCAGTGTCTTCAGCAGAACGACAAATCCTGGTAGCCTGAACATCCCCAAGCAGTCCATGGCTTCTAAGAATAGAGATGCATAGATCCTTTTCAGACAGCTCTCCCACAGCCTCCATGACTATCACACTAGAAGAGGAGCACTCACCATTTTCATCTACTTCAGTCTTCATGGAAGTTGAAGCATGCTCCATATTTGACTTTGATGATGAGCAACTATCATTTACGCTGTTTACCTCTAACACTTTTCGCACATTGTTTTTAAGTGCTTCATCAGAAACTAATTCCTCACCAACAGAACATCCATTAAAAGATTCTGAACTTAAAACATGAGACTCTCTATTGCATAAATGAGTAGACGCTCGAGTGGCTTTAGTTTCATGCTCTATGTGCGAATCAACAAGTTGTTTCTTAGCAGCAATTGAAGGAACGATAAAATTTACAAAAGAACGATAATCACCAGTTCTTGTGTTTTCTCGATCTTCTGAAAATATGGTGACAGAGTTTCCTCCTAATTTCTTCCTTTTATATACGAGATTAGGTGCACTACTTTCAGACATTATTCTGACTGCTGACAGATGCTCCATATTTGACTTTGATGATGAGCAACTATCATTTACGCTGTTTACCTCTAAAACTTTTTGCACATTGTTTTTAGGTGCTTCATCAGAAAGTAATTCCTCACCAACAGAACATCCATTAAAAGATTCTGAATTTAAAACATGAGACTCTCTATTGCATAAATGAGGAGACGCTCGAGTGGCTTTCGTTTCATGCTCTGTGTGCGAATCAACAAGTTGTTTCTTACCAGTTCTTGTGTTTTCTCGATCATCTGACGGAACATTAAAATTTACAAAAGAAAGATAATCACCAGTTCTTGTGTTTCCTCGATCTTCTGAAAATATGGTGACAGAGTTTCCTCGTAATTTCCTCCTTTTATATACGAGATTAGGTGCACTACTTTCAGACATTATACTGACTGCTGACAGCTGGGAAGAACCTCTTGGAAAAAGTAAGGAGGGCAAATCATCAGTATTCTTGTTTTCCTTTGAGTTTAGTTGAGCTTTTCTGCAGCTGCAATGAGAGTCGCATTTTGTACACATCTGCCAAGTTTCAGCACCAGGCACCCAATTACATAAGACATCTTGTAACCCATGGTTAGATACACAAAATAGAGCAGCTTCAATTGAACTAGCAAGGGAACTCTGTATTAACATTTTCACCTGAAACAACCTCACTAATATCTGGTGCACGTTCTTATAAAGTCCCAGAGTAATTCACCCTCTTATATGTTTGAAATAGGAGTTTCATATATTACTGAAAGGGGCATCCCCAAAAGTCATCTCCATTCTATTGCACCAACCTCTGATTCCAAGAAGAAGAAAAAATGTCAGTTTAAACACAGGAATCAAACTCTAGACCTTCATGCGCTTCCTTTGAATTTTTAAGACAAGTTTTTCAACGCAGAAGGTTTTAATTTCAAAACACCAAGCGAGCGCAAGGAAGAATGTAATCCAAAATGGGGAATAAAGAAAAAGAAAAAGTCAGACTATCTTCATCTTCCAATCAAATAGTAACCTAAAAAAGTCATGTTTCACTTCCATAATGAATGCTCTATCCCCGCAAAATAACAAAAAATTTGCTCCAGCCACAGACACCATGAAGAACGCAACAGTGGACTCCAACTTATATTATTAGTCTTCTTGACAAACCATACATGAACTCCACAAACACATCAGCTGTAGCTATCATCACTGAAGGAATTCCAAAACGACAGTGTGTGTGTGTGTGTGTGTGTGTGTGTGTGAGAGAGAGAGAGAGAGAGAGAGAGAGAGAGAAGATTAAAAATAGCATCCTTTCCTAGCAAACATGCAACAAAGAAATAGTGATTTACAGATTCCTCTGCTTGCTTTCACATACACAACTGACGGACAAGAGCGAGTTGTCCAATTGCATTATCTATTGTTCAAACCTTACCCAAAGATGCTGTACAGGCAAAAGAAGATGCCTTAGGTGGGGCAGCATGACACAAAATTTCTTTCCGCGGAAAGAGCAACATTTTTCTTTTTCAGATGCGTATCCTAATTAAAAATCATAATAATTAGACAAACTAAACATTGAGAAATGCTATATGTAATAAAAACGCAGTCTGCTACAAACACCAAATTCAAGGTGAGTGAATTATTGTGTAATGCAACACGTAACTTCAAAAATTCAACTGGCATGTCCACCTGTAAACATAATGCAGTAAAACTTCGTACAACTCTACATATTTCCCTCATTTATTTCCTGCACATACTTAGATGACCATCTTTTTATATTCCAATACTTGGAAACCTAATAAAATTGAAAATTAAGATTGTTTATATTTAAGGAATGCCACTTACAAGGAAACTATTTGCATGAAACCAAAAAATAAAATGTTCTTGCACATATAGAACCTATTAACTAGTACCATCCCGTTTAGATCAAATATTCGATCATCAGAATCCTATAATGAATGATGTTCCCTGTCCCAAATCTTTCTAGTGAAAAGAGCCCGGATTCAAACCCAAAAGAGCACTAACAAAAGTCTTCGCGCCCCATTAAAACTCCACCTCACCCACCATCCCCCAGTCCACCAACCTTTCCTCCAATTAAAGTCTTAAAAGAAATCCTTCACCAAACCCAGTTCCTAGTCATTCAAATTTTCTTAGACGTTCAAACATACGATTTCAATAGGTACACCTCCATCATACACCAAACCATTCTCATCAGCTGCAAAATAAAACAAGGGGTATTTTCCACATCAAGTATGATGCATAACATGTACTTGCCTACCAACTGTTATCTGAAATCCGTAATCTGCTACCACTTGATATAACAACCTTTGTCCTCCAAGCACCGAACTCCTCATCAGAATTCTTTTCCAAATCATATCTCCACAAGCTCTCCAAGTCCTCAGCATAAAAGCAACTGAACTTCAGTTTTCCAAGCCCCTGTTCTTCCTCAAGAGGAAACCAGTACTTCAACCCATCAAATTATTCAAAACTTTCAAACCCCTAGAAAAGGAGAATTGATGCACTGCAATGATTTAGTTATTAATCACAACAAGCTCTATGGATACTGGAAAGACCCATAACTTACAATATGTAAGCACAAGGACAACATAAAGTACTCACTTTGTAGCCTTCAATATCCAAGATGATACATCAAAATTTGTCCAAACTGACACCAGGTATATATTAATAATAAATTGTTACATCAATACAGCACCCAGTATCAGCACCATCTTATTGCCATCTACAATCAACATATTTGACACATCTAAGTTTCCCTTTAAGACTAAAAGAAATAATAAACTTGACTGTGCAAAATGTAACCAGAAGAGAATACCTAAAACAGAATAAGGTTGTGGGCATGAGCCACCAACTCATAAAGCATAACTGTAAGTAAAACTTTTGGTTCTTTTTGTCAACTTAACATATTATCTATGTCTTGGACAAATATGTGCAGTCTATTTGCCTACAACTTCTCCATATAGTCAATAACCCATCATCTACTGCGGTGTATGAAGAATTTTCTCGTTTTTCCTTCCAGATGCACAATAAATTGAAAAAAGAACATATTAATTGATATAGGATATGGGTGAACTGTAGATTTAGGCAGATTAGCGGAAGCGAAAACAATGAAAACAGAAAATTAAATGAATAAAGATAGGTATGGAATCACTCCAGGGGCTTCACACTCGTCCTTGGCTTCACACTAAGGGGTTTGGCTTCAAACCAGAATTCCAATCTCTGGAAAATAAACTTTACTCAATAACTCAACTCTGAATTCAAAAGAACTACATGGGGGGTATTTATAGCAAACTAAAACCTAGAGACAATGGGATAAAAATCCCTTGATAAAACTGAAATCCTAACCCAAATAAATTAGGAAACTAGAAATCTGGAAAAACTAGAAATCCTACTGAGATCTGGAAAACCAAAAAATCCTACTGTGGAAAACTAGAGAACCTAGGAAACTAACAAAGAAGGAAAGCTGCTCTAAAATTTCAACCCAACCATAATGATAATGTTGGATTGGCTGATCATTTCCTCCTTCGTTGATAAACCTTAAGAGGTTTGTTATGGATGTTCGGATCATTAATTAGACAGATTTGACACTTATTTACTCAGAAATGCTATATGGACTAAAACTTAGTATATCTATTTCACAAATTGCAAGGAGACATGCTACCAAGACCAAATTCAAGGTGGGTTGGGTAGTGTGTAATGCAATACACAACTTTAAATTCAACACATCTCTTATGCAATATCGTAGAACACCACATGTTTCCTTCACTAGTTTCCTGCACATGCTTAGACGCATGTCTTTATTTTCTCGTAGTGCTTGAAAATTTATTAACATTGAAAAATACAGATTCTTTGCATTCAAGTATTACTACTTAAAAGGAAACTGTTTATACGACACCAATAGGGAATCTAGATATATACATGCAATTTAAATTTTACCAAATTTTGGAGCTTCTATAAAGTAAAAACATGCACGAAATAGCTATATATATCAAACAGAATATAGAAGTAAAAACAGCATTACAGTGACTCTAACCAAATCTTAAAAATGTTTGGAACATAAACTTGCCAAATTCTCTACTTTTCCAATGCTTTCTTCATAGACACCGTGATGGATGGGAAATAAATACAAAGACCACATAAAACTCAATCACTCAAACTGTTCCACACACACCTACTGAAATCTGCTTCTGATAATAAGTGAGATTCAACAACAATTTCAGGCACCAGAAACAAAGGTTACAGATTCTCTTTTCCTTTGTTCTTATATCAAAACTAAACCAACTTAGTGTGAATTCCATCTAATAACTGATGGGCAGAGACATACAAATGGACCCAATTTCGTCAACCCCAAAGGGAAAAGCGAGCCCAGATCCGTATCTCAAATGGGGTTTATAATAAACCGTTTATCTCAATTCCAACAATAAATGGAATCAATGATTGCAATTAATCGACCAAATTCATAGGGCAAAATTATGACATGCAACAAAGAGTAAAGCATATCAAACTAAACTAAGAAAACGAAGAACAAGAAAAAAAGAAAAAAAAAAAAAAAAAAAAAAAGAAATTGGCACAACATTACCATGGATGTCCAAAGGCCCAACACAGAGAAGAAGAGGAACTTTTTCGTTTCTTGAACGCTTTCAACTAGAAATGAGAATGTTGCAGAGGAGCATTTGGCTGTTCTGTTCTGTTGACAGACAGAGAAGAAGAACAAGGGTTTACGGAAACAAACGAAGACGGTGGGAGATGGGTTTTATGGCCTTTACACTTTGGCTTTGGGTTTTTTCTTTGGTATGGTTCAAAAACCAAACCAATTTGATTAACCAATTTAACCCAATCAATTTATTTATTTATTTATTTATTTATTCCTCAATTTGTATCTAAATTGAAATTAAACTATTATAAATACCTTTGGGCCGAGTCACCTTAATACTATTTTCCAGCCTAAAGAAGAGAATTGGTTGTAGATGTATCAAGAACATAACAATTTAATTCTACAATGAGGCTAAACTTAATCAAATGACCAGCGACAAAGCTATCCTCTATAAAAGTACAGATCTTGCACATCAAGCGTGACCATCCCAAATAAGAGTAAAAAGAGATTGGCATGCATGATCATGTTGTTTAACCAATTATTGTTTACCCCAAATAGCTCTACCATAGCAATAGGTCAAGAAATTGTGTTAGATGCGAGCATGCCATTATTAGCATTCGAGACAGTCTAATAGATTGATTAATAAATGATAACTTGCGTCTTAAGTAATCCGACTCTCAATCAAACTACTGAATTCCGAGTGGGGAACTAGCATAGATTAGTTCCTATCTATTTAAGGACTATTATTTGGTGTAAATAGGAAGTGGCGAATTCGATTCAATCATAAACAGTTACGAAATAGAATAACAAAGTCTGAATCACTACTATAAAAGTAATAGCAACAAATCTTGTTATGGAATGGATACATAACATGAAAACAAACCAAATTAAACTGAAAGAAAGCAATGAAAACCGGATTTGGCCGAAGAGTCGTTAATTTGGACTGTGACTAGTTGCAGTAGAGAAACAAGAATTACATATGGGATTGATCATCAACTAGAAATTATACCAAAAGCAAGGCTATGGTAAAATTTCGCATGAGTTGTCAACTGGTTTGGAATTCTATTTGGGATCAATGTGATCAATTTGATATAAATTATGATAATTATGGTTAGGATCTTTCTCTCTTCTTTCTCTCTTCCTTTTCTGGATCTTCCGAAAACATGGTGACAGAGTTTCTTCGTAATTTCCTCCTTTTATATACGAGATTAGGTGCACTCCTTTCAGACATTATACTGACTGCTGACAGCTGGGAAGAACCTCTTGGAAAAAGTAAGGAGGGCAAATCATCAGTATTCTTGTTTTCCTTTGAGTTTAGTTGAGCTTTTCTGCAGCTGCAATGAGAGTCGCATTTTGTACACATCTGCCAAGTTTCAGCACCAGGCACCCAATTACATAAGACATCTTGTAACCCATGGTTAGATACACAAAATAGAGCAGCTTCAATTGAACTAGCAAGGGAACTCTGTATTAACATTTTCACCTGGAACAACCTCACTAATATCTGGTGCACGTTCTTATAAAGTCCCAGAGTAATTCACCCTCTTATATGTTTGAAATAGGAGTTTCATATATTACTGAAGAGGCATCCCCAAATGCTATTGCACCAACCTCTGTTTTCAAGAAGGAAAAAAAATGTCAGTTTAAACACAGGAATCAAACTCTAGAACTTCATGCACTTCCTTTTAATTTTTAAGACAAGTTTTTCAATGCATAAGGTTTTAATTTCAAAACAACAAGCGAGCGCAAGGAAGAACGCAATCCAAAATGGGGAATAAAGAAAAAGAAAAAGTCAGACTATCTTCATCTTCCAATCAAATGGTAACCTAAAAAAGTCATGTTTCACTTCCATAATGAATGCTCCATTCCCTCAAGATAACAAAAAATTTGCTCCAGCCACAGACACCATGAAGAACGCAATGGTGGACTCCAACTTATGTTATTAGTCTTCTTGACAAACCATACATGAACTCCACAAACACATCAGCTGTAGCTATCATCACCCAAGGAATTCCAAAAAGACTCTGTGTGTGTGTGTGTGTGTGAGAGAGAGAGAGAGAGAGAGAGAGAGAGAGAATGAAAAATAGCATCATTTCCTAGCAAACATGCAAGAAAGAAATAGTGATTTACAGATTCCTCTGCTTGCTTTCACATACACAACTTATGGACAAGAGCGAGTTGTCCGATTACATTATCTATTATTAAAACCTTACCCAAAGATGCTGTACAAGCAAAAGAAGCTGCCTTAGGTGGGGCAGCATTACACAAAATTTCTTTCCACGGAACGAGCAAGTATTGAACACCAAATGGATTCCCTTTAGTATGGTTTATCCTTAAACTCCCCCATTTTGGATAAGCCACATTTCATCCCCTCACCTCCAATATTACTCCCTAAGAGAAGTTTGAAAAAATTAAAAACACCCCATAAATAATTAAAATAAAATTGTTACAAGGTGCTAACATAAGTCATATAGAGACGGTGCATCCCATTGAAATTGTAAAGAGAAGAAGACCCAATTAAAAAAAAAAACATAAGTATTTATATGTCCCCTAGAAATAGAATAATCCTCTCGATGAATTTCCTTTAACTCCTTTAATGCAACACGTAACTTCAAAAATTCAACTGTCATGTCCACCTGTAAACATAATGCAGTAAAACTTTACTCAATAACTCAACTCTGAATTCCAAAGAACTACGTGGGGGGTATTTATAGCAAACTAAAACCTAGAGACAATAGGATAAAAATCCCTTGATAAAACTAGAAATCCTATTGAGATCTGGAAAACTACAAAATACTACTGAAATGTGGAAAACTAGAGAACCTAGGAAACTAACAAAGAAGGAAAGCTGCTCTAAAATTTCAACCCAACCATAATGATAATGTTGGATTGGCTGATTGTTTCCTCCTTCATTGATAAACCTTAAGAGGTTTGTTATGGATGTCCACGTCATTAATTAGACAGATTTGACACTTATTTACTCAGAAATGCTATATGGACTAAAACTTAGCATATCTATTTCACAAATTGCAAGGAGACATGCTACCAAGACCAAATTCAAGGTGGGTTGGGTAGTGTGTAAAGCTATACACAACTTTAAATTTAACACGTCTCTTATGCAATATCATAGAACACTACATGTTTCCTTCACTAGTTTCCTGCACACGCTTAGACACATTTCTTTATTTTCTCATAGTGTTTGAAAAATTAATACATTGAAAAATACAGATTCTTTGCATTCAAGTATCACTACTTAAAAGGAAACTGTTTATATGACACCAATAGGGAATCTAGATACATACATGCAATTAAAATTTTACCAAATTTTGGAGCTTCTATAAAGTAAAAACATGCACGAAATAGCTATATATATCAAACAGAATATAGAAAGAAAACAGCATTACAGTGACTCTAACCAAATCTTAAAAATTTTTGGAGAACATAAACTTGCCAAATTCTCTACTTTTCCAATGCTGTCTTCATAGACACCGTGATGGATGGGAAATAAATACAAAGACCACAGAAAAATCAATCACTCAAACTGTTCCACACACACCTACTGAAGTCTGCCTCTGATAGTAAGTGAGATTCAACAACAATTTCAGGCACCAGAAACAAAGGTTACAGATTCTCTTTTACTTTTTTCTTATATCAAAACTAAACCAACGTAGCGTGAATTCCATCTAATAACTGATGGCCACAGACATGCAAATGGACCCAATTTCGTCAACCCCAAAAGGGTAAAGCGAGCCCAAATCCGTATCTCAAATGGGGTTTATCTCAATATAAATGGCATCAATGATTGCAATTAATCGAACAAATTCATAGCGCAAAATTATGACATGCAACAAAGAGTAAAGCATATCAAACTAAACTAAGAAAACGAAGAACAAGAAAAAGAAAAAGAAATTGGCACAACATTACCATGGATGGCCAATCCAAAGGCCCGACACAGAGAAGAAGAGGAACATTTTCGTTTCTTGAACGCTTTCAACTAGAAATGAGAATGTTGCAGAGGAGCATTTGGCTGTTCTGTTGACAGACAGAGAAGAGGAACAAGGGTTTACGGAAGCAAACGTAGACGGTGGGAAATGGGTTTTATGGCCTTTACACTTGGCTTTGGGGTTTTCTTTGATATGGTTCAAAAACCAAACTAATTTGATTAACCAATTTAACCCAAAAATGTTTGCCCAAAAAAAAAATTTAACCCAAAAAAGTTTAATTGATATTTTTTTTCTTTCTCAATTTGTATCTAAATTGAAAGTAAAATATTATAAAGGGTTAAATACTTTTTTGGTCACTGGGTTTTACATTAAAATTCAATTTGGTCACTTATAAAAAGAATTAGCCAAATTGGTCATTATATTTCCTAGAGTTTACAATTTATAGACATTTTATTATCTTCCGTCAAGTACAGTTTTTTATTTTTATTTCCTTAGGAAGCACATTCAATCTTCTCTTTCTAACTCAACTAGTTGTGGTATATTGTGCTATTAGGGTTGAATAAATTGAGGGAAATCTTGGGTTGAAATCAAAATTGTGAAGTATAAGGAAAATAAAAAAGCTAAACCAAATTAAAATGAAATAAACAATTTACCAATATATTTTGATGCCCTATCACCTTGATTACGTTTCATTATTGCCATTCAAAGTCGCAATAGGGCTCTCACTTAATCGATTCACACTTCAATATAGAGCACCAAAATATAATAGAGGAACAAGATTGAACAAGCTTCCTAGAAAACTAAAAATAAAAACTGCATTTAACGAAAGATAATGGAATGTCTATAAATTGTAAACTCTGGGAAACACAGTGACCAATTTTGCTAAATTTTTTTTCTTAGTGACTAAATTGAATTTTCGTGTAAAACCTCTGGGCTGAGTCACCTTAACACTATTTTCCAGCCTAAAAAAGAAAACTGGTTGTAGACGTATCAAGAACATAATAATTTAATTCTACAATGGGGCTAAACTTAATCAAATGACCGGCAACAAAGTTATCCTCTATAAAAGCATAAGATCTTGCACATCAAGCGTGACCATGCCTAATAAGAGTAAAAAGAGATTGACATGCATGATCATGTTGTTAAACCAATTATTGTTTACCCTAAATAGCTCTGGTTGTAGCAATACGTCAAGAAATTGTGTGAGATGCGAGCATGCCACTATTAGCATTCGAGAAAGTCTATTAGATTGATTAATAAATAATAACTTGTGTCCAAAGGCCCAATTGATAGATAATCTGTGGTTTGTTTTTGTAAGATAGATCCCAACATAATCTTGTCATATGCTTGAACGAAATTTTTTTAAGTTTTGTTGTTAATTGAAAATAGTTAATGATGATCATTATATAACATTGGAATTGTTTTAATGGATTTAGACTTTTAAATGGGGGCGAAGTACATGCAAATACTATCAAGTTTATGCAGTTTCAGCTTACAGTCAATGTTGTAGCACTAACTACAAATTTCATGTCGGCGGTTTTCTATGGTCATGTTCCATTAAATGTTGAAGTGATGCAAGGACTCCTTATGGAACCTGGGTAGCATTTCTTTGATAAAATATAATGATATACATGGTTTTCCTCAAAGGACTTCCATCACATGTTATTCTTCCTCTCCTTGAGAGGTAAATATAAGGTTACATTGTGTATACAATAAGAAATATAATTAATTTTTATTACCTAAGAATAAGTCAGCTATAAAAAGTAGTAGGAAAGGAAAAACCAAAAACTATATTAATTCCAAACCAGAAAAACTATATTAATTGCTTATGCCAACACTCCCTTTCAAGTTCGCTAGATACTGCATCGATAAAAGTATCATCTTTCGATCTTCGCAAATATATAAAGTCAAGAAATAGTTCCTCAAAAGTCATATGTCTTAAGCAAATCCTTATTGTTTTACATGAAAAGTCTTGACATGAGTTTGGAAAATTATTGTTATTACAATATGTAGACAACAATAAATAATCTTATATTTGATTTCGTTAAACTACAAAAGCATGGGTTAACCTATAAATCATGGTTTTGCATTCAACCCCTAAGTAACAAAAATACAAAACGAGAGAGAGAGAGAGAGAGAGAGAGAGAGATTATGGATGTCTATGAAATTAGTATGAATAGTAGACTAATGCTAATAACAATGGGATTAATGGTAACGCAGCTAAGCTAATGCTGAACCCAACTACAGTGCAAGCAGAATATAACAGTATAGCCGAGCGGCTATACTACACTTAAAAATATTACAGCGTATAGCCGCGCGGCTATACCCAAAAATAAAATAAAAAATACAGTATCGCAGCACGGCTATAGTATTTAAATATTCGAATATACTTAAAACGTATAGCCGTGCCGCTATACTTATAATTAAAAATTAAAAATAGTATAGCCGCGCATACTATCCTTAAAAATTTAAAAAGTCTAGCCGCACGGCTATACGTAAAAGAATCACGTCAAGACTTTTCATGTAGAACAATAAGGATTTGTTTAAGACATATGACCTTTGAGGAACTATTTCTTGACTTTATATATTTGCGAAGATCGAAGGATGATACTCTTATCAATGCAGTATCTAGCGAACTTGAAAGGGAGTGTTGGCATAAGCAATTAATATAGTTTTTGGTTTTTCCTTTCCTACTACTTTTTATAGCTGACTTATTCTTGGGTAATAAAAATGAATTATATTTCTTATTGTATTCACAATGTAACCTTATATTTACCTCTCAAGGTGAGGAAGAATAACATGTGATGGAAGTCCCTTGAGTAAAACCATGTATATCATTATATTTGATCAGATTAACTTCAGAGTAAACTTCATATGTACTTCAATTAAACAAAAGAATTCTTCTCTTTGTTGAAACTTTCGATGATGTGTTGCAGCTTCAGATTTTGCTTGTGTTTGATGTCTCTTCATATGTTTCCATGAGATGGCTCGTATTAATTAGCAGTGAGTAAACTATGACTATCTTGACATTGAAGAAAGTTGTATCATACAATACAGTTAACGAACACATAATTAATGGAAGAAAAAAAAGTTTGAAGAGAGACGAATATTTTCTGAACTTCTCTCAAAGTTTCCATTCACTTTCCGTTTCGAAATCCTGAAGTATTGAGCTCAGGCTTGTGCAAACCTTCATAAGGTCCAGAACTTTATTTGAACTGTTAAACCAAATTAATAATTTTGATTAGGTTAAGCAGACTGAAACGGGGAAAAAAGAAAGAAAAGAAAAGGAAGGTGATAAATTGAAGATAGCAAAAACTGAAAAGCAAGCAAACAATCAAATACAAAGAGAAATGAACTTCAACAGACTCAGCCTCACCATTGTTCATTGTGTTGCCTGTTGAGCAAGAGGCCTATGAGGCTTTGGAGCTGAAAGAAACCAAAGAATACAATCAATTAAATACTTCAGCTAGAAAATGAAAATTCTAAGCAACAAATGTATGTTAACAACTAACAAAGGCGGTCAGCATAACATGAATTTTTCTACACGCTATTGGAATCCCTCAATGAGAAAAGGAGTTAACAAACTAAAACAAATTAACAATTCCCTAATGAGGCATGATGTACAAAAAAACTTAAATCATGAATAAACTAGATACCATTAGGATTTCCCTGCTCGTAAAAACTACGAAAAAGAGAGACTGCTTCTGATGCCATTATCCCTCCATTGCATTTGAAACCTTTACCTCGGGGAGCTCCACCACTATACAACAGAGGGAAAGTAAAAACTGAGAAAGCCCCACCACATGAATGGCGTGATGCAACAATTATGTTGAATACGATCAGAGAAAGAACATTATACTGCATTAGTAATTTTCGTTTAGAGTATACCGCACAAACACAGCAATGACACACATAACAGGTAAAAAAAAATATTTGAAACACTCAGAGAATGCAGTGTCGAGAAGACTATAACTTGTGTGGTTTTCTATCATTGCTAAAGGCACTTAAAAATTCCATTTACAGACAGTGTATTTACACAAATATGCCTGAACTATTCTCATCAGCACATTCCTACAACAAAAATCAGCATAATCTCAAAGATGAAAAGATTTCATCAGGCATCCTAAACACACCATCTTTGGTAAAAGTATTTCATAATTTGTCATATTAAATTGTAGATGCAATTATGTGCACATAGGGATAAAATGTATTCTGTCCATGAATCTCGGTGTGTGAGTGAGTGTGTGTCAAGGAAACAATTTGTAAAAAAGTAATGACTAGTGAAGGCACCGCAAAAAATCAATTAACTCTTGTTGTGAGGTTGGGTTCAGAAAGAAACCTAATGACTGGCTCAGAGCTACTTGAGTGCAATGATAATATTGATCCACACCCGCCAAATTTATCATTGGCACAGCCATAAAATACTTCCTTTATTCCTAAAGAAGGGAAGAAGAGTCACCTATATTAGTGACAAGAGGAAAGAGAAAAAAGTGTCGAAATTTATTAACAAAATTTTAAGAAAAGGGGCATACCAATGAATGATAAAGCCGCTGCACACATTATACATGGCTCACATGTAACATAGAGTTTACATTTTGAAAAAGTTTTGGCAACTTCTGACTGTGAAAGCCTCTTTTCTCTCCACTGCTCAAGAAGAGTATCAATGGCTTCCATCTCTGCATGCCTTGTAGCCTGCATTTTTATGGCAAGCACATTAAACTAGAAACTAAATTTCCAAAGGCTTACATATGAAGCAGACTTCCTGGACATAAAACAAAGCAAAGAAGTGCCAAACAGAGATCACATCTTATAAATTATTATAATAATTTAAGAAGAAAAATACTTACAAGAAAACCCTAAAGAATGCATTACGTTCTTAATGATAATCACATATAACTTACGGTCGAGCTCCAATTAGTTGAATTAGCCTCAGTCATCCCACAAAAAATAATTAAGATCACGGAGAAAATGCACAAACTGGACCCCATCTTTTTTATGTGGTTCCAAGGAAAACTGTATTTCGGAGAAAGATGCAATTGAAATGCGAGCAATTATCCTTATGAAGCAAACTAGAGGGGCGTGGCTAATCGTTAAATGAGAAGCCTCAAAAATTCAAATACACAGGAACAATTGCTTATATAGATAAAGTTACCAACAAGAACCAAGGAAAGAAAAAAGAGAGAGGAACCAATGGTAAATTTACATTTCGTGTCTCAGTTGTTCGATTTCTTCCAGATGCTATGACCTTGCCATCTTCAACAATCACACAGCTGATCAATCAAATTTATTGATTAGAAGATGCGCTGACATAGTCACCCTCTTGACTTCTAACAAAAGAAGCAAATTTCAAGCATATTGTAGGAAATTTCAATGATGTGATCAATAGGGTTTCAATAATGTGATAGGATCAAATCATAAGATAGGCATATGATACTTAAATTACGAGTGACAGGCATGATTTCAAAAAGCAGAAGAAAATAATATTTTGCACTAAACTATGTACTTGGGAACAAGGTAAAGCTGAACATTTCCAGATGTTATATGATTAAAGGAAAAGGCCAAAAAAGGTGAGTATAAAACCCAAATAAATAAAGACTCTTAAAACCAGGACAATTATACAATTACCAGAAATCTTACCCAACCGGAACTTCGAGGCAGTCCATAGCCACCTTTGCCTACAACAAGAAAGCAAGACCAAATATAAAAGTTATATACCTGCAAGGGTAGCAAATTTAAGCACCCAAAATGACAATGAAAAATAATAAAGTAAAGATAGTGTGTGCACAGCAGTTGAATCTACATGATGCATAGTGCTGCAACAAACACTATCCAAAATTCTGTTAGATGATTGGAACTAATGATAACACAAATGGACAAAGATAAACAACAAACACCGGACTCAATCCTACTATAAAAGGGGGGAAACAAAAGCCAACTTGGCACTCATTTTGGTTCAGAAATGTAAAGAAATCTCAGTGAATGGCATTGGCAGATAAAAAATTACTAACATCACCAGGCCAGTCCATCATTGATCCATCAAATTTGGGTATTTGTAAGGAACACAATATTATCACAACTTAAAATCCTGGAAATTGAAGCCAAATCACCTCCCACAGTTTATAAGCCTCTACCATGCCATAGGTCAGGATGTTTATGGTATGTATCTATCATAAATTTAGTCCTTTCTATTACAATCAAACACTAATTTAATATTGCAGCCTGCAAGTAGGAAGCCTCGGAATTACCTGTTCTATAGCAAGAAGCATAAATGTACGAGTATCATCAGGGTACTCTTCCCCGAGAGATGCCATCTATGAAAAATACACAGGGGAAGACTGAAAAGGCAAAACATACAAGCAGTTAGAAGATAATAGCACAAAAGGAGAGACAATTCTAGTGTAACTACAGAATAAACTTTAGTTTGGCTTGAAATACGCCAAATTGCATACTCGGGCTCTCTCAAGCCTAATTTGTCACCAATTACAAGGGGTAATAAGAATTTGAGGCATTAGAAGCTGGAACATTCAGGGGATTTCTCATAAAAATCTTATTTCAGAGAATTTTAGTTGATAATTCGGATCTACCAGCCTTTGATCCAGCTGAAGCGATTTGGGAACAAAAAGGTCCGACTAAGGTGAAGATTTTGGGTTCGGGCTAGTGGCTCACAAGAGGGTGAATGCGTGTGAATTCCTTCAGAAAAGGAGACATAACATTACCAGTAACCCCACTTAGTACAAAAGGATAAAAATGGAGCACTAGTTTGGGACAACCATGGATGGTCCCTTAAAAGCTTCTTGGTTAGCCTCCTAGCAACCAATTGCCAAATCTATCTCAAAACATATTCATGATATATTAATATAATCAAATTTTCCCCAAATGGGGAAGCACAATAACTCATGTGCTGGGAAATTTTGCAAGTTGATTCAGGAGTAATTTTAACCACAGATATTGAGGAGATGGAGGCTTGCCTCCTCCTCAGACTCTAAGATTACATTACATGCATGAAATGTGCATGTTATATGTGTTATATGCAAAAATAACATGAAAAATCACCAATAAAACTAGAACATAAATGCAAAGTGACATTCTTTCTTGTTTTTCTCCAGAAGGGTGTTGGGTGCATGCTCTCTCTCAATCAACAACCTCAACACCAAACACCCAAAATGTTTTCAACCATTTTCAACGCTCTTCAACCTCATAACACACAAAATTCTCAGAACCCATTTGAAGAATTGGATTAAACTATCTAAAGCTTTTCTTTTTTAAATAAAAATAAAAGAAAATTACTTTAAGACTTACTTTGGCAGCAGTGAGGACAGCGGTTAACGCTCTTTTTGTCTCTGTCAAATGCGTTGGGTTTGTTTTTCAGTCTCTATTTCTTCCTCTTTTACTGCAAAACTAATTGTAGGAATAAAGATCCAATTAGTCAAACCTGAATTATAGATCAACTTTTGATATAAAAAAAGACTTAGCCAAAACCATAAAACAAAGACCAATCACTAGCCAAATCCATACAACTCATACATCAGTGCTTTCTATTTTCTCGATTCCTACCTTCGTCATTTCCAGCGAAACCCAAATCTTTTTAGTAAGCAATCCCATACCATAAAGAGAATTAGAAAACTTTGTATAAGCAAAATGGAAAATACCCAGCGGTATATCAGAAAGCAAGATAAAAAAACGAAGAGGAGCAGCTATGATAAAAATATTCTAACCTGGAGGAGCAGCTAAGATATTGCCGGGGACGAAAGCACATGCAAGAGAAGCTGTTGTGGTGGAAGAGAGAAACACAGGTTAGTGGATTCGAGGTGTAGAAGCAGAGACGGAACCACACTGGGGTCACTGGGGTCAAACGACCCTAAAAAAGCCATGGAAATAGGCTTGGAGGTCTACCTGAACCGGTGGTGCGACCCTATGGACTGCCTTCCAACTGCTCGATGTTTTTGCCTGAGGACGAAGCAGCGTACTGCGCTTCAATTTTTTTAAGGCTTAATTACACCAACGGTCAAATCTCACATTGCCCTCTAAAACTACCAAGCCCGCTTACTCCCCTCAAACTACCAAGCCCGCTTACCCCCCTCAAACTAAAGTGGCCCATCCTCCTCCCGGCCCGCTCTCTCTTGGGCGTATAGCCGCGCGGCTATACTATTTTTTATTTTTACAAAAATTCGTATAGCCGCGTGGTTATACTCGGCGGGTTTACTATTTGCGGGCCAAAAAAATGGAGGACCCATCTAGCGTCCAAGAAGCGATCCAGCGCCGTGTGTCAAAACAGTATATCGAGGCGGCTATACTATTGAAACATATTAGTATAGCCGATCGGCTATACTATTTATTTTTAAAAAAAGACTCACAACACCATTTAAAACTCTTTTAAATTTAATGATGTGACAGACGTGTTTTAGTAGTTTTGTACACGTGGACTATTTTATGCTTATGTGGACTCCACATAAGCAATAAACTAATCAAACAAATTCGAAAAAAATAAAAACAAATTCATAAAGCCAAAAGAAAAAAGAAACAAAAATTTTATATAAAAAAAATAGTAAGAAATTAATTTCGCGGCCCCAAGTACCTTCTTCCCTACAACCACTATCTCCCCCAATCTTTCCCACGCTGCCCATGCCACCCTCAAATTGAACTTCATCCCCACCTGCAACCCGCCCATGGCAGACCACACCTCAACACGCACCAATCTGCCACAATTCCCCCTACAAACCTGGCAACCGCCATCCCCCACTAGATCCAATCATTCACAGTCCATACACACAACCAATTCACCACACAACAAATGGATCAAAACCCATGAATATCCAAAAACCAAAAGCAAAAAACCTCATTTGTATGTTGTCTCCTTTTACGAGATTAGCATGTCATGTCAATTAAGGGGAGTGGAAGAAGAGAGAAGGGGCAGCACCATCCCTTCCTCTCTATCTCTTTTTCCCATCACAGGTGGCCCACCCCCACAACTCAACAACGTAGGCTCCCTCAACATAGTCCAAAAGAGGAGATTGAGAGGTTATGAAGAAAAGTAAAAAAAAAGAGAGATTGAGGGGCAGCAGATCTGGATTATATGCCCCTTGATTCTTGCTTGTTTTTGAAGTTCGGTGTCGATGTTGGAGATTAGATTGCGAAGGTGATAGGGCTTGAATTTGGGGTAGGCTAGTGTTGCTAGGTTTGCTGACAGGAGTGGTGGTGCGATGGGTGCATTTTTGCTCACCACTTTAACCATAGGTGTACCCTCACCACTCTCCTCAATGCTTGACACGTGTCCATAGACATAACCATAGTTAACTTTTGCTTTGTATTTATAGAATCATAGTTATGTCTATGGACACGTGTCAAGTATTGAGGAGGGTGGTGAGGGTACACCTATGGTTAAAGTGGTGAGCAAAAATGCTCCCGTGGTGCGATGTGGAGAAGATGGTGGTTGTTGGCTTTTATTTTATATTTTAATTTAGGCTCTTATAAAATTTTCTTTAAATTATTTTTAAGGGGCCACATGGATGAAATTATCAAAAAGCCCATACCACGTCATCGGATATAATAAAATTTTGGATGGAGTTGACAGAATGGGGCAAAGTAGGTCACCAAATCACGGTCGCGAGGGGGGGGGGTTAAGTGGGCCATTTTAAGGGCAATGTGAAATTTGATGGTAGTTTAAGGGGGCATTGATGTGATTAAAGCCTATACAAAAACTCACTAAGCAAAATGACGTTGTTTTGGCTCAATTATTTTTTTTTTAAAATGACTTGGCCAAAAAGACGTCGTTTTGAGCCAAGTCATTTTTAAATAAATGAAGGTTTTCCTTCAGCTTTCCCGCACCCCTCAAAGCCCATCCGATAATCACCCCCAAAACCCACAATTTCTATTATTATCTCTTCAAACCCTAACCCCAACCTCCCTAATCCCCACCTGCTATAGTGCCACCGATGTGTTGACACTATCATCAAAGTTATGATGTCGTCCACCACCTATTATTGTGCCACTATTATTATTTTTTGCTTAATTGGCATAGGTTTAGTTTGAAATTTTACAAATTGAAATCACTCAAAAGCATAAATCAAAAAAATGGCATATTGAAATCATTCATGTATATTTGTCCAAGAAAGGAATAACATTTGGAAGAGAAAAAATAGATTAAAAAAAAAAAACCCTCTCTTAAATTTTCTTTGGAACATTTATACCATGACCACATGGGGTTCTAAGAAGCACAAGAATTTTTGGCTCGGATGTAAAGACTGAAAACCATTGGTATTGCTGGATATGAAAACGAGTTCTCATATTCATGTTTTAAATCTACAGCATACAAATCAACAGACGGTCAATAATAGAAGTCCGTAATGACTCCGCACTATTGGACTCCGTAATGGAGAAAGCCTTTGATGATGCATATATATAAAAAAAAAAGACAAGATCCCAATTTCCCAATAAAATAAATAAATAGATATTTAAGAAAAATTCCATTTCTTGCATTGATTTTATATATAAAAATCTACGACCTATAAAGTGAAGAAAAAAAAACACAAAAAAGGGCCTGATGTCCTATTTTTAAAATTAAATGAGGTGTAAAATACCATTACTGTCCTTGCAAATGATTTTAAGAGACACAAACTTCGGTGGTAGTGTTGTAATTTTAAAGCTTTTAAAGGCTTGTATGGTATATTTGATTTCATTGAAAAATTAATTGAGTTTTTCCCTATAATTGAAGTATTATAGGGTTTATTTATAATTTAGGCTCCATTTATGGGCCTAAATGTTAAACTCTAAAAAATACCATTAGTATCCTTTAAGAGACACTAACTTCGGTGGCATTTGTATGGTGTATTTGACCCCATTGAAAAATCAATTGGATTTTTCCCTATAATTGAAGAATTATAGGGTTTATTTATAATTTAGGCCCCATATATGGGCCTATATGTTAAACTCTAAAAAATAAATAAGCGTTCAAAAAGCTAAACCCTAATACAGAAGAAAACAACCCACTTGAATTTCAAGTAACATAACTTCATTTATGTGCTACTTTTGCCTCCAACAACAAAAACTCTTGACCTATCAAAAGGTATGCATGACTTTAGAACCAAGTAGAAACTTAGGTATCTTTGTAAGACTAGAAGAAGAAGAAAAAAAAAAGAGAGAGATACATGTATAAAAACGAGAACCTAGACTAAAAGTTGTTGGTGATTCTCCATGCTCCCCTTCTTTACTTAACTAGTCTCCATCTCTTTGGCTTCTTAGTGTGAGAGAAATATAAAAATAAAAGAAGAAATTAATACAAGAAAATGAAAAAGGGGAAAAGAGACCAGAAGTGTGATGGCCACAATCCAAAACAAGCATTTATGCTATTTCCTTTTGTCTTGACCATTGGTGCTAGAATGAGGCCTTCTAACAAATCGTCCCTGAAACGAAACAAGGAAGACCAATCTGAGTTAGACAAGGAACAAGTTCTTCTACTTAAAGTTTCAATTGAACTTTTCCTTGTTAGTGGAATTTTATGTATAAGAATCTCAATATCCAAGAATTCACAAATGTTTTGATTTTATCTCCTTTAAATATTACCTTACGTCAATTTAATGGTAGTCTTTTTTATTTTACTATTTTCTATTTATATGTACTCCTCACTGGGGTATTTTGTTTTATCAATGAAATTCATTTGTACCGTCGAGTTTTGTATCTTCTTAAAATATTTGTATGTAAGGTAAATTTAGCCCACCCAGTTTTCAAATTCTGGATCCATCCCTGAATAAAATGATGGGGGTGTAAATTTAGTTTCATTCTCGGTGAGCTTGTAATTGGGACTATTTTAGTTGTTGGGTGCCCTAGAGTTTTTTCCTTATAATGTTTTTCTTTTCCGTATGAAAAAAATTTCGCAATTTTGAGCTTTAGAATTAGATTTATTAAAAAGCACAAAAACTTGGATTATTCACACTAGCTAGTAAATTTTAACCAAAGAACAAAAACAAGCTAGTAAATAGAGAGATATTGAGGGACAAAAAAGAAAAAGAAGAAAAGGAGAAGACGTAAATAGGAGGAAAATAAATTAAAGTAGTTTTATCATGTGACTTGTGTTGTAATGGAAATTATCACACCCATCATGCCATTATTATTATTTTTATTTATTTGGACTCAACAATGAGAAATTTATAACACTTTTTTTTAAAAAAATAGAGACATAAATCCTTGATATTCCATATATATTTTAAAAATTGGCTTCATCAACGACGAATAACTCACGTAAAAGATAAAAAGATAAAAAAATCAACGACCAAGAATGTTTTAGAAAAAGAAGTACCTTCATTCTGGGCCGTCGATCCGCGTTGACTTTTCTGACTTGGTACCTGATCTTCTTAGAGAAGAGGCGTGTACGCCGTTTTTCCTTGTAGCGTAGCACGCTAGCCTCTCTCAGTCCTCCGGCGTCCGAGAATAAATCAATCTGCGCCAGCCTGGCCTGCCCCAAACGAAACCAAATTATCAACAAAATCATTCAGTGACAATATGCACCACACACACTCTCTTATGAAATTTAAAAAGGACAATTCTGTCATTTTCTCATACATTCATTCTGGATTGTCCCAATAGATTGAGCAACTATACCGACCTAGAAAAGGACTGATACCGCCTCCTATAGAGTCTCATTAAAAAAAAAAAAAAAAAGAGTAAATATACTAATAAAAAAGAATATTCTTGTTTGTTTTTAGAGTAATAAGTATTTTGACATTACGGCAAAGCAGCGGAATTGGTACAATTACGGCAATGCAGTGAGAAATAATCTTTTTTTTAAAATTCATTGATGGGGAAATGTTTTTTTTTAAGTGAAACATAGGCAAGTGTTTTTTTCGGTTCTCATTATTAGCATATTCAGAAACACACACAAAATACATCTGACGTAAGCAGAATGACACTAAACGAACTTTTACACCTTCAAATTTTTGGAAATTAAAAGTGGGATTTTAAGACATGACAACTAACTCAATTCTTTTTTTTTAAAAAGTTAGAGCCA